TGGCCAAATAATTGCAGATTGTTGTTACTTCTTTAGTACTTGTATTATTTTTTCTCTTGTTTGAAAAAAAATTGGTTGGTATTTAAGGCTTTTCACTCGTTTTTTATAAATTAAAGCCTTATATCAAGTTAGGACTTTTCAGCCGTATGTGAACGGTGTGGATCTAATGGACGTTGCGTGAAACCAAACATCTGTCAATGTGATCTTGGTTGGACTGGTCCCAACTGTGATCAGGTACACAAGAAGTGATTAAATAAGTTTTTTTAAATTTTTTTGTGATCAATCAAATAAAGCAGTGTGAGTTTGTTGGAAAACAATGCTTGACCCAGAATTGCATTTTCAGTGCATTGTAAAACCAAACTGCCTGCATGGGACATGTCAAAAGCCTAATGAATGCAATTGTGATAAAGGATGGGGTGGTCAACTGTGTGATATTGGTAAGCACTTAGTTTGTAATTTATTGCTTCCTTTCTTATCTTTTTTTATTTGTGACGGATCCATTCGTAAATGACGAACAGTATACGCGCACTATATTCTACTAAAAGAATTTTATAGATTTGGAATACTGTACCCGCCATAAGCCTTGCAAAAATGGTGCTTCATGCCAAAACGGTGGACCCGGCAATTATACAAGTTATACATGTAACTGTTTTCCTGGTTATTCTGGAAAACATTGCGAGATCAAGCTTGATGGTTGCCCAGTTTTTAGGTTAAGAAAGGCTTTGCCAAATAAGGTTCGATAATGCTCTTGCTTATTGCTTTTCTTTTACTTGACCACAATATTGCCAGTCGAAAAACAACAGTTTAATGTCTTTAGCATACGAAGAGTTGCCAAAATGGGGGTCTTTGTTTACAAAATTCAGTGTCTGCCTACTACTGCAAATGTCCTCCAGGATACTCCGGTGTTTATTGCGAAGAAAAAGTGGTTTGGTGCAAAGATAGGTGTCGTAACGGTAATAAAATGTTTTTCTGGTCGGTGAGAGATGTATAAAAGATTTTAATTAAGTCGGTTTTTTAGCGATATATTGAATCCAATACCTATGTGAAAAAATTTTCATGGAATTCTAATTGTGTCTTTATACTTGCAGATGGAAACTGTATCCTCAAAAATAAAAACGGGAACTATAGTTGCGAGTGTAAAGCGGGTTACACCGGACGGTTTTGCGAAAGCAGACTGCAAATCTGCGAAGTGCGTAAATTTTTTCAGCAGCTATGAAATTTTGTCCCTAATCATTGCATATGCTATCAATATCCTTCGTTTATCTATTTCTCAATCATTTCAGTTTCAAAATCCGTGTAAGAATGGCGGGTCTTGTGAAGCGATGCCATCAAGTTTCTTGTGTAAATGTTTGCCTGGTTTTTGGGGACATTTCTGTGAGTTCCCTTTGGATCCTTGCGAAACTGCTGTGTGCGACAATGGCGGACAGTGCATTTCAACTTTTGACGGGCATTATGAGTGTCGATGCCCTCCTGGTTTCCGCGGTAAAAACTGTGATATTCGTGACGTTAGTTGTGACGATGCTATTTGTGGGTAAGGCTTAGAGTTTTCAGCTGAAAGCTAGAATGCAATCTCCGGCAGATTCTCAAAAAGTTGTACCGGTATTTTAGCAATGGTAGCACATGCGTATCTACTGCATTTGGGCATCGCTGTTTGTGCAATGCGTGTTATAAAGGTCCAGATTGTCGGTTTGTTGACGAGGAATGTTTAGTAAAGGTTTATATTTTTACATGCCATCCATCAGCTTATAAATCCAGACCTTTCCGTGCTTTTGCTAATCGGTGCAAGATAACTGTATTCCGATGGATCATTTTAGATTGCGCGAACTTGGAGTTCCGTAAATGAATCGTTTTTGGTTCTGATCGCTATTCTGACGTTCTTGATACTCGTTATATTACTGATTTTTCTTTTCTGGAAATGTCGTTCGAGGCAGTTAGTCGCTGTGGATCCTATTACTGAGAATATGATTAATGCTCACAGAAATAGGTTTTACCAGTTGGCAAGTAGTGATTCAAAGGTCAGCCGAGGTGTTTGCGAAACTTCAGCTCTAAAATACACACCTGTATGTTATTTTAATGGCTTTTTATTGGTATCGCTATTTCTGTAGTTGCTGTTGCTAAGTTCTAATTAAAAAATCTTTTTTCTTTTTAGATGTGTGTTTCCAAGTTGAAAATTCCTGTTGAAGGCAATGAATACAGTGAACATCGACCTAGATCAAGCTCCTTTTCAAATAAGGTAAACATTAAAGTAGTTTTGTCGTTTGTACGACACTACGAATAATAAATGGTGTTGATGAGCGACGTACAAATACAGTTTGCTATCTAGTATTATCTGTTTTCCAGCTTGATGCAGCTGTATTCCGGTCTTACAGTAATACATCAGTAGACGATAATATTTACGCAGAAGTTGACGAGTGTGAACTTAACTCAAACCTGCAGTCACTTGCAGGTGTACATTCAAAGTCACCTCATTCGTGCAATTTCAAGAAGAAATGTTCTAATTTATTGACGAGTTGGCAAAGGCCTGAAATGAAATTACATCTGTCGACTTCAGCTTGACTGTTACTTTCACTGTTTGATTAGATAATTAGAAGGAAATGTTGTCTTTTTTAATTGTTGTTTCGCGAGTACAAATTGCAGTTCGGTGAAGTTAAACGCTTCTTTTTTTTTTATTTGTTTTGCTTAGCAAGAAACATTGTAGACCAGGCTAGCTGGTGAAAGCTGATCTCACGGGTGTTTTTCTTTTTAGCAGTAATTCCGACGGATGTCTCCTTATATGTTTAAATAATAATTTTATTTTACTGTTTTTTTTGTTACTTCAACACGTGCCTTTTTTCTTTGTATGTGCAGATTCTCTATGATCACAGAGTGTCAGGAAACCCTTTTCAAAATTTGAAATTATCAAAGTGAGAAAAATAATTTAATCAAACTTTTTTAAATTGAGTTTAAAGCTCTTCATTTTAGCGTAGGCTTATACTAGAGAATAACTGAAATGACAACAACAATTTTGGCATTACTTCGTAGCTCTTCGAGTTTTTGTATAATTCTGTATTTTACAGTTGTAGACCCGCCGGTCTGGTGTGCGAAGTTTGCGTAAAAATTTTGCTCAAATTGGTTTTTTTT